GCACCGGGCCACTAGTAATGTGATAACGAGCCACAAAATTGAAGAAATGCAGACAAGGAAGCATAAAATAAGAAAGGCTTCACAGAGAAGACATATTTAGCTGGGTTTGAAAAGTGAATAGAAGTTTTCCAAGAGGAAAAACAAAAACAAAGGACAATATGTCCAAAGGCTTGTAGCTAAGTAAGGCAGTATGTTCAGAAAAATTGTGTAACATTTGGAGCCTAGGACTTATAGAAGGGAGTGGTGGAAAAAGATCCTGGAGATGACATTGTGAGGAGCCTTATTTGCAGTTTAAGGATTTTGGATTTTACCACATGCTTTACAAATCCACTATAGGCATTATGGAATTATGGTCAAGAGCATAGACTGAAGAGGTTAGAATCGTTGCTCTACGACTACTAGCTGTGTAGTTTTAGGCAAGTTACTTAACTTCTCTCTGTCTCAATTTCCTCACCTGCAAAATGAGGATGACTTCATCTCCATAGAATTGCCATGGGAATTAAATGAATTAACATATAAAAAGCACTCAGAATAGTACCTGGCCACATAGTGAGCACCATAGAAGTATACTGTCATTATTATGGAAGGGCTTTAAGCAGGCAGGCTTGATGATCAAATTAATTCTAAAGTTATTAAAGAAAGCTCTGACTTTCAAACGAAGGATAGTTTGAAATAGAGATAGCATTGCAGAGAAAACAACTGTGTCTATGTTATGTTGAAATAAAGTTTTAAAAAGCAAAAAAAAAGTTTCTATGTATGTATTTAATATTAATTGAATTTACTGACACTCATCATATACTAGGAATTTTGCTAGGTACTATTGATATAATGGTGTCTTCAGATCTAATGGTGGATACATACAAAAAGACAATTAAAAAATGTCATGAGTGCTATAATAGAAGAAGTACATACTAGTATATAGAGGTACCAAATTTTAATTAGGTTGTTTATTGTTCATTCAGCAAATATATAGTAAGTGCTTATATGCCAGGCACTGTTCTAGGCAACTGGAAATGTAGTAGTGAACAAGAGAGACAAGAGTCCCTGCTCTCATGAGATTTATAGTCTAGTGGGAGAGATAAATCATGTATAAGTAAACACAAATTTAGGACTCTGGATGCTCAGTGAAAGGAACCTAATTCAGAATGAAAGATATAATAAAACATAGCATAGATAGTGTTTTCCTCAGCCACAACCAGTTTCAGTATATTAAAGACTCTTTTCCATATTGTCGCTCTTTTTCTCATCTCAGTTTCTGCCTGTGTGTTGGCCTCTTTCTCTCCTACAACAACAGACAAGCAGGAGGATGAAAATTATTATTTTGTTGTTGTTAAGCCTCACCCAAGGATATTTTCTCTATTTTTTAGAGAGTGGAAGGGAGGGGGAGAGACAGAGAGAAACATTGATGTGAATGAGACACATCAATTGGTTGCCTCCTGCATGAGTCCCGACCAGAGCCAGAGATCGAGCCTGCAACGGAGGTATATGCCCTTGACTGGAATCGAACCTAGGACCCTTCAGTCTGAGGGCCGATGCTCCAATCACTGAGCCAAATTGGCTAGGGTGAAAATTATTTTTTAAATGTGTCTTAATTAATATAGAACTACAGCTTGGTTTCTAAAAGAGGTTTTATTGTGAAATACAACATACATACTAAGGAATATACAAACACAGTTTCAAGAATAATAAGTGGAATTTTTATACCCACTACCCAGACTAAGAAATAGAACATTACCAGTACCTTTGATGCGTCCTGAGTCTTTACCTCTTCCATCCCACACTCCCACCCTTCACTGAAGGACCCACTATTCTACAATTGCGATGAACTATGTCCTTGCCTTTCTTTACAGTTTTACCATGAATGTTATAGATTCTTGAACAATATATTATTAAATTTTGTATGTTTTAGGGCTCCCTTTTTGTGCAGTATTACTCATTCAAGTTGGCACATGTACCCATAGTTCATTATTTTTATTGTTATATGGCATTCAATTTTATAAATATATCAAATTTTATGTTATGGATGTTTGGTTTGTTTTTACTTGTTTTTTAAAAGGAAATGTCTATGGGGAATATATCTAACAGTAGAATTGCTGAATTACGGGGTATGTGCATGTTCAATATTATTAGATGATTACAAATTGTGTTCCAAAGTAGCTGTATCAATATGCATTACAGGCATGAATAAGTGATAGGATTGCTCCACATCTTCAAAAAAATTGACATTTTTAGGCTCTTAAATTTTTGACAATCTGATGACTGTGTAATATCATCTCACTACAGCTTTTATTTTTCAAGCAGTTTTAGGTTCAGAGCAAAATTGAGCAGAAAGTACAGTTTCCAGATACCCCTTCCCCCACATCCTCACCCACTATCAACATCCAGAATGGTACATTTATTACAATTAATGAACTTGTGCTGACACATCTTTATCACCCAAAGTCCATAGTTTACATTAGGACTCATGCTTGGTGATACACACTCAATGGGTTTTGGGAAA